CCCAATTTTATGCCCCCATTTTTTTCCCCCTTTCAAATTTTTTTTTTTTTTTTTTTTTTTTTTTTTTTTACATACAATTTAAATGAAAGACACCAAAGAATCTCCCTTTAACTTGATGCAGTCCCACTAAATGCAGTAGAGTAACGAGAGTATTGACTATAATGTGGAGCTGAAAACAATTCTCAGCAAATCTTCTATGAATATACAATGCTGTCATTCATGCATGCCGCCTCGTTCCACACAGGTTTAGAAAACATTAAGAAAGACAGTTTGCTGGAAAAAAAAAAAAAATAGAAATCCTATTGAATATATAAATTTTTTCGTGGCGAGGCTTAAAATCCATTTTGCACAAAACTGCATTCTAACCTTCATCTGAATCTTTTGAGCCATGATTATCCTGGATTATATTTTTAAGCCATTCACTTTGGGTTTATTCAGATGGCTGACCTGTTTTTGCCTTTACCTATAATTTACAAGTCGTATAGATACAACTGTGACACTTCGGACTCCCATACATAAATCGAAGTTGGCTAAGATGTCTATTAAGAGTCGGTGAGAGCAGAAAATGTTGCAAGATCGAGCTCCATATTTCAGTTCAAGATTTTCCAATTTAACAGGGCTGAATATACTACAAGTGTACATGTTGAGGCTATAGGAGCGGTGCTGTTTTGTTTTTCTTTTTCTTTTTTAACATGCATGTCCAACCATCTCACAAGTTCCACATGATCTACTTTTAAGGGTTATTTTGTTAGAAAATAATGGACTGTGGATTGTGAGTTTCAAATGGAGCACTGCAGGATTATTACTTCTGCTGTTTTTTGTAGTAATAAAAAGACTTACGTTTAATAATACATTAAGACATGTCCTAAATCAAAGAGAACTAGTAATGTACACAAATTGTTTTATTTTCGCCATATAAATGCATGTTTAATGCAACACGATTTGTCTTCCTTTCCAGGTTATAAATGCTGCGCTCACTCTGGCCGCGCGGCCCCAAAGCAAGGTGGCCCAGGACAACATGGACGTGTTCAAGGACCAGTGGGAGAAGCAAGTACGCATTCTGACTGAAGCAGTGGATGACATCACATCTGTAGACGACTTTCTCTCTGTGTCAGGTAAAGAGTGGCAAGTATTATTTCCAGATCGTTGTGTGGAGTTTATGAAGATCAAAAAAGATTTTTCAAAACTTTGCTCATTAAGAAATAGCCAGACAACAAGCCAGACATTCTTCACGTTCATGAACGTAAACCAAAAATAAAAGAATTTAGAACGGAGGGAGTCGCATTAGCCATATATTTTCTGTCTTTGACCGGCTTTTTAAAACAGCGATGGACAAACCTGAAGGCCTTCTGTCATTTTCACTTGATGACTTGGTGCATATGAGCATACACAATACATCACGGAAGAAACTAAATTAATCCAAAAGAATTTTCCCGTCTGGACATCGTACTCAAAGCGTTTCACTGTCTGGGAGCTTACAGAACATTTAAGAGTTATGGGTCACAGACCGGTGCAGCTGAACTGCTGGTGCAGAATTTGCACATGTGGAGAAATCCCTGTGGAGAAAAAGCAACATATTTTCATCTGCTTACTGTGTGACGACACAGTGTGAATTCCCTGTTCAGTTTGTTGGACTGAAAATTACTTAAGCTGAGTGAAGATTAAATATCATTGAAAATGTCATGTTGAAAATCAGATTAAGACGTAAAGAAAATGCATTATTACTATTTTTTTAACTCATCAGTCAAAATCACAGACAAGAAAAGAGTGTAGAATAACTCATGGTCAGGAAAGAGAACATTTAGAATAAAAGTTTGTTAATTTTAGATTCCCTTTTTGATATCAAAGCATCTCCTATTTGATCAATTGTTTTGTTGTTTAATGTGTTTTATATTTCTTTGCAGCTAAATGTGTATATGTATATATATATATTTTAACTTTTGCTTTAATGTTAAGGAAATGTAAAGAATTTTGTGGTACATCAGTAGATCTTTAAAGCTTAGTATCCGTGTATTGGGATGAAAGGTGTAAAATATATATAACTTTTTTGAGTGGTCACAATTTCATTTAATTGTTTTCACATTTAGGGAACATTTAGACTTTAATTGGTCATTTCTGTGATCAGCACTCTCATCGATTTTGGTGGCAGTGACGGATATGTGTGGCATAACTTGCAATTCACAGTTGCAGTGTTAATGCCATGTCCCGACATGTCTCAAAAAATCCATGGCAATCTTGATATCAGACAGTTTTTGTGTTTCTAAGGAGAAGAAAAAAAATAAAGAAGGTATATGGTCTCTTTTGTTTGATTCAAACCAATTTCATTCTTTCTCTTCAGAGAACCACATCCTTGAGGACGTCAACAAATGTGTAATTGCCCTGCAAGAGGGAGATGTGGACACTCTCGACCGAACTGCTGGAGCCATTCGTGGACGAGCTGCCCGTGTGGTCCACATCATTAACGCTGAGATGGAAAACTACGAACCTGGGGTCTACACCGAGCGCGTGCTGGAGTCCATCAAGCTCCTGTCAGAAACCGGTTAGTGCACAACAGTGGTGTAGCATAAGAAGCCATAATTGAACATATTATTTTCACACTCCATCGCTGAGTCATGTCTTATAAATGCATATTTTACCATGAATCGTTTGGCAAATACAGTAGTCTAACCCCCACCACAGTCACACAAAGGTTCATATTCTGAAACCTACTGTAGCTTTCATTACTGGCTGAATGCTCGGTTCCCCACATTTATGATTAGTGTCTTGGCTCTAACACAAAAGCTGGACACCACTTGTGAACCCCTCTACCATTTCTGGCGCTCGTCCATTTTTCATCAGTTATTTTTTTCTCTCTCTCTCTTTCTCTCTCTGCAGCGTCAGGGCTTATTTTAGAAGACTAAAGTTTATCTCTGTGGTAGGCAAGACAGAATGAACAAATTCCTCCTGTCACAAGTAAAGTAGAAAAATGTACTTTAAGCCAGACTTTTCTGTTTTGAGAATTCACCACATTTAGAATGAGCCGTGGAGACCGCTGTATGAAGTATACACTTAGGTTAAAAGATGATTTGAATTGTTTAAGTATTATATTTATTCAACTGATGTTTTGCTCACACTAAAAGGCTCAGATGGATTTCTGACTGAAGAGCAGTCTAATGTGTCCTAACCTCACATATAGTCTCTTACTGGAAGAAAAATTGTATCTTTGGTGTCCAATTTAACAAAATGGGAGAACAGAGGAAATAAGAACTGCTGAATCAGAATGGCTTTACCTTTGAATGCACTAAGTGATTCTTTTTTCAAATTAATTTTAAATAGTTGGTTCACTAATCTCAGTCACTGAAGAAACCTCCAAGTCTGAATAATGGTAATCAGGACTGACCAAGCAGTTTAGATTTAAAAGCAGTAAATCAGATGAATTTAGACAACCTAAAGTTTTTTTGTAACTTGCTAATTCATAACACTACATGATTTAACCAAGCCTCACCAACCACAGTTTTAGTTGAATCAATATAACTAAGTGAATCAAGAAGTTAGTTCTTAATTTTTTTTTTTTTCATACAACGGTCCAAAAGTGAAGCTTCATCAGGATGTCTGCTTTGTTACATCTCCAGCCCCGTCTGTTCTCTATAAATCACAACCGTATAATACAGGATTTTCATGAACTTCCTTTTGGACCTTATTGGAGAGATTTTGCAATTTATATGCCGTGATGCTTCCCTTCAGTCACTTCTTTGACTTCATCCGCCACATAGTCTGAACAACAATCTCCTGCTTCTGTGTTGTCAACTAATTGTAAAATCTCACAGGAAAGCTCACCAGAATCCTTAATGTCATGATTTTCAAAGAATGAGGCCAAAGTAGTGGAGTTCAGTGGATCAATGTGAGCCCCACCCAAAGCAATGCCTCTCAACCTCAAGGGACGAATTTGAAAGATAAAATTATGTCATGGTGATGCTACGGGAACAGGAACCAGGAAAGAATTATTTGCTTCAACTTTCATAAGTTTGCATGTTACTAATTTAATGACGAATTGAATAAATTAATTGTATATTAAATACATTATTTATGCATATAATTAAACATTTATTTATTTCATTCTACATTTATTTAATGATTTAATGATTTATTTACTTATTTAATCTTGTCCTTTTTAACCCTCCATATTTGACTACATTCTGTCAAAACCTGTGAACATCTAGATTAAAAAACCGTAAAAGTGTTTTTTTAGGAAAGACTGCATATCATATCTACCAAAACTATAACATGTCACTGTTTTTACACCCATGCATTTTTTTTAATAATATCATCTGTCACAGCCTAAAACCTTATTAAAAGGTAACACTGGGCAGAGGAGCGAATTTGATTGGACTTTTGGGGGAGCCTGTGATCGATGAAGATGGACTATAGCAATGCTTGCAATATTTTCTATAAGAATGTTTGCAGCCTGCTGAAATGGATGTGCACACTCACCCCTAACAGGATTAACATGTAATGAAAGCATTTTTTTACTGTTAAAAGCAAAAATGACAGGGTTTTTTTTCTTGTTTGTTTTTTATTACATTGTACAGAAAGCTAAAATGGTGTACGCATTAAAACTGGTGACTCTAAATGTGAAATAATAGCCCTGCAAAACATACATGCTCTATAAATGTAGAAGCAAACTAATGATTTTCTTAGTACAGTCATGTATAGCGTTTTATAATCATGTTCATTCAAGAAAGAGACTAACCAACCAGAGAAGAAACGCATTGAATTTTGTTTTTCTTACAAAGATTTTTGTTCTCTGCAAGAGCTGTGCAAATTGCCTAAAAGTATACTTGAACATGCCCTTTAAAAATGTACTGTCACAAACAGGAGACAAAACAGAGCCACAGGATGAAAGGAAAGAAGTCATTTATCCATTACCGGTATAGAAGAATAAAATCTGACCACAATCCGTCCTGTATACCAAAAAAAAAAAGTAGAACATCTTCTGACAGGCCATTATGCTCTGTCCACCCCCAACCCCCGCCGTTCTACTTTTTTTTTTTTTTTCCACCCGCCTTTCTCTACCATCATCCCCGCTCCAGTTTCTACCTCTCCCATTAGAGCCCATTTAGCAAGGCGGTATATCTGTTGTTTCGCTCGTTACTTTCATCTGCCAGGATAATTGAGAGACACAATCTGCTCCCCTCCCTATTAGCTGATAAGTCGCAAACAGCATTCGTTGAGTCACGTGCGCTCAGAAAGCCATCTGTCTAACGCCCCTCTCCTGGTGATCAGCTCCACCATAATAAACTACTCACACTGTTGGTTATATGGCAATATAAGGGCATTGTGATCTGTTACTGCATAATTCAGTTTAATTGATTAAGGTAATTAATTGATGGCATTTCATGGCAATATTTGATGAACACTTGAGGTCAATTTTATGCAACTACTGTATAACCTTGTTGAGCACTCTGACTTGATAATTACGCTGCTGTTCTATTAATCCTGAAGGGAGCATGTATCTTGTTTCAATAGTCAGCGTGGCGCAGAAGCATCATGTCAGCATTACCGAGAACAAATGGAGAACTCTTGATGATTCACCATTATGTTGGTTCCCCATTGATTTCGGTTCATCATGTATTTTATTTATTTATTTATTTATTTTTTTGTTTTAAGAGTTTAAATGAGATTTAGTGGTTTTCCTCCACTAGTCTGACACCGTACCTTGATGTCCCTACAAAGATGAGGTATTTTACAACGCTGTAATTATGCTCAATTGTTAGTTCAGTTGCAGAATTTGTTCAACTAGAAAATTAGAACAGCTTGGAGTCTGATTCATAAAGAGAAACAGAAGCCAAAAGTTATATAAATGCTTGCAAAGTCATTAATAGTCAAAAACTTTTTTTGTGTTTTTGTAGGAGCTTTGTCATAAGCCAACACAAATCAGTGCATATTGTTGTTATATTAAAAAAATATGTTATTTTTTTTTTCCCAATAATATCTAAAGTGTTTTGTGCATGTATAATTACCCTCCTAAGTGAATATGAAGAACTACCTTCACTGCAATTACAGTTGCACATTTTCTGGGGGGAGTTTCTGCCATCATTGCTCATTTCATGACTTTAAAGCTTAAGCTAAGTCCACAGTCCTAATGGACCATTTGTATGTACAATTTTGATTAAAGAGGTTAATTTATTGCAATTTCAACCAAAGCTATAACAAAGCAAAATACGTAAAAAGAGAAGTGCTGTGAATACTTTGTGGTACTCACAGGGTTGCAGAGCATAAACTGCTCTACAACTTTATCCTGATCTGTCTAGTGTGTCCTTAGTCTTGATGAAACTGTTTGTTCACTAATGGTCTTTAATAAACCTCTGAGATGTTCACAGAATAGCTGTATAACACAAGGGTGCCCACGGGAAGACTCTATTATTAAGATGAATTCAAGAAGGGAGTTGGTTGCACTGGATTTTAACTTTAGAAATGAGTGTAAAGGAGGTTGAATAAAAATGCATACCATCCCTCTCAGATTTCTGTTTGCAAAGACATTTTTAAAGCATGTATCATTTGACTTTTGATTTGCAATTCTGCTTTGTGCTCTTCTGATGTGTTAAATGCCACCCAACTAAAAAGAATTTGACTTTGTAATTGACTGTTTTAATCTATTTTCTTCATTCTGGATTTTAAAAATGTACACTTACTTTTTACCAAGATTAAAATAAGGAAGCACAAAAATGTCCAAAATGTTAAAATTTCAGACTTGGTATTACTATCAGAGTTAGAACATAATAAATAGATCATACATTTTGACACAAAAGCAAGGATTCTCTGAAAAAAAGTGACAGTTGCCACAGCTAGCATGATGTCTGTGGACTGACAATCCAACTTTTTTGACAACAAAACCGCTTCATTGCTGCAGTTCAGACCAGTTCATGTTTTTGAAATGGTGATGCTCACCTGTCACTGACAAGTCATCTGTCTTGGACAGGAAATGTATATTGGACCAATGACATTTCCCCTATTTTCAAATCTGTGTGATGGTGCTGAACTCACATTCGCAACTTGCCAAGTAGCAGAATGGGGCAGACTTCTTAAATACTTAGAAACAGAGAGAGTTCACACGGTTGTCATCGTTAATGATAGATTTTGGATGTCCATAGAAAAATGGCAACACTTGTGGGGGGATGTCTTGGCAAAATGAAGAAAAATACCAGGAATAATTCTGGGTTTACTTATATTGTCCTTGGCTGCAGAAAATGTTCTTATCACAAACCTGACAGCTTCATTGATTCATTCACATTTGATCTATTGGACAGTTTCTTCCCAACCATTAGACATTTCAGATTTTGTCTCAAAACACATTTTCAAATTTTGAGTAACAGTTCACTTTCATAACTGTAGTTTTGACAGAGGAGGGTCTGCACATTGAAGCACTTATACATGGGTATCCATTATTTAGAAATTATAAGCTGTGAAAAATTTTAATGCAGCTGCTTAAAATACTGTGAAGTAAGAAAATTGTATGCACTCAAAGATTAGGAGAGAGTCTCACATTTACCTTAAATGAAG